AGTATTAGCATTAGCATAGCAATAGTATTAGTAGGCCTATTAGTAAAAATTAATATATTATTATTAGTTGTAAAAATAAACGAGGTGAGCACCTAGCAACCCAAGCTATGCGAGACATGTATGGACATTAACTCGCGCCGGATCTGTTTACAGCTTCGACCTTACGGAGCCATCGCCTCTGTGTGAACAGTAGTTAATTCGTATTTCGCTGAGACTGAGACCTAGCCGTTAATCTCATTACTACCTGACCAGTCACCTGTCCCCGACTAACGTCTTTGTGTGTTACGCGCATCGGCCGCCATTATATGCCGTCGGCGTCGACTCGCCTAACGCCATGACGACCGATAACAAGCTTCTGCCTTTCCGCTTCCGCCATTACCTCGGGTCGCGTGGCGTACGTTAGAGTCCTTTCTTGCATTAGGCGCCGCACCGGGGCAGCAGACCGGCGTAGAACAATACTGAGAGGCGCACTTACTTTCCGCCGTGCGTCTCGGCTAACGAGGCCACGGTGGCGTAACGTGTATGTGGGCACGCCGGGGATTGATTTTCCGACTATGAAGCCCATATATCAGTATCATCATCATCATGATAATGATCATCGGGTTGTTCCGCCTTACTGGTAATTGGATTAATGAACCCCGTATATATAAAACGACGCCTCCATACAGTTGCTTCTGTCTGGAGACGACTGCCGTCGTCGTAGAGACGCGGGTATAAGACTGAGATGTTTGCTTATTCAAACTCGCGTATATATATATATATTGTTTTTAAGAGGTCTATTTGGCGCGATTTCTGTCCTTAACCGCGCATTATTAAACCGTTGAAAACATTTTCGCTATGATTCAAGCGCTTCACGAGAAACTCGCATGAATCGATCTCTAGGAAAATTTAATGAGTTTGTTCAGTCGAGCGGATCGACGAAGAAAATAACATATTTTGCTGAGAGTATACACACACATGCACGTACAAACGCCCTGTGCGCGCGTGCTGGTGTGCGTGCGTCTGTAGGCGACACGCGCCTGAGATAGTTTCGACAAATTCCAGCTGATGAAACAGAGCAAGAAAGCATGAAGTAATCAAGCTGTATTATATTTTAATTATGACCTCCCAGAGAATTGATATTCGATAAAATGGCAACCCTAACTTGAGCCAATTAAATATAATTGCTAGACCAGCCGTCTTGTCACTGCCAATAGCACGTGTTTCAAGTTTTCAACGTCCACGTTGCCTGGGGATGCATAACCAACCTTGCGTCAGCGACGCTTAAAACTTGACACCCTTTACTCTTCAGCGCAGCGATTTTACATAAGTGAATCACATAACCTGTAGTACCCACAGCTCATCCCCCAAACATACGAATCTCGTGTGTAGCACGAAAATCTGTGTACAACGCGCACGTTTGTATGTTATGTAGCACGTATAACTTGATTCGATACGCCATAGGCTGAAAAGATCCACTGGTCCATGTGCATATCGGCGACAACAGGGCATTTCTTCGGGTAGGTTTGGAACGCGCGGGTTGTTATCCATAACCGGAGCAACGTCGTCATTAGGGTAATAATTGATTGCGAGTTTTGTTTATCGGTTTTCGTCGGTTTGTAATTCAGAATGAATCTCCGACGTGTTTGTAAGCTCCACTCGGTGATGGTTAGCAACGTCATCAGCTTGAGTTTAAAAAACCTCATTTTTATTCGGCTATAGTTCCAGTTTTACACGTGTCTGTACATGAGTCCTTGTTCACAAACGATGTGGTGAGCCAGTCTACATAACAATTACACGTGTTTATAAACACACGCGTGTGTATATAACCAGCGTATTTGTATATAACATGCACGCACGCATTTACGTAACAAGCCTACCGGCATTTAGCAACCCGCGTTTTCATATAAATCGAGTAATTTATAATAATTTTCATTCGCCATCCATAAATTACGTATAATTACCATCCAATTTCAGTAGCTGTGCATGATTTTATTCGGCGCTAATTTCTGTAACGTATACAAAAGAATCGTGCTAGTAAATTACAGGGGTTCTAGAGGAAACGAATCGATTTCACAGTTAGCAGCATACATATGTAGACATTACAGGGAAAATTATTATGGTTGGATTCGGTGGTAGGTCTCACGTTGGCTATAGCAACAGAAGCGCGCACTTTCCCACGAGAATATAAAGCCCGAAACCACGAAGCCTAGAATATATTATAATATATGTATGATAAAATTAAGCCTAGATCACGAAACCATCGTGAAATTCTAGGATAAATGAATACTCCGCCGTATACCGATAATGTATGTTCTGAGTTTTATTAATTATGGTCGAGCTGTATAGGCTTGAGAAAAATTAATTATACCGTCATGGCACTGAAATATCGCGAGGTGTAAAGTATGGCATGTTGTTTGTGTCATAATTCGATTTTTGTTTTATGGTTGATTTTATCGCATATAACATTCGATTTATCACATATAACATTCGATTTATCACATATAACATTCGATTTATCGCATATTA